TAAAAGAAAAATATACTTGAATTGCATGGACAAAAAGAAACATTTTCTTTCAGCCACTGGCCAGTAAAGTAATTTTATTTTAAATGTTAAGATGCAGTTAGTTAGCGTGGGGCGCAATACAGTATGCCAGTGAATATGCCTCTTCACTGGCATATTGAATTCAGTACAGCCACAGACCTAGATCTGCATGCCTGTGTACTGTAATAATAAAACAAAAACTCCGTCATGGACCCCTACAGATTACAATGCAGGAGGAGGGTGCTTCACATCATGAAAGACTCCACCCATCCTGCACACAGTCTGTTCCATCTCCTTCCCTCAGATAGGAGGCTGAGGAGCATCCAGAGCAAGACCAATAAGCTGAAAATTAGTTTCCTCCCTGCAACTGTCAGACTGCTGAACTCCAGCTGCACTTAATTCATTCACACAGTTTTAGAAAGACTGCTTCAGACATCTTTGTTGATGCAGAATGATGGGCTTCAAGTTGTTTGGAAAGGTTCTTTAGGTCCAGGTTTATTCGCAATCAACAATTGATTTTCTCAGGTGATCTCTCTCTTCCCCTGCAATATGTTAACATAGACTTGTTTGCTCTAAAATAGCCAACTGTTGATACCTCTCCCTTTTTATAAAGGTGGTCATGTATGCTAATGAACATTTGGATGCTACTTTTTCTGTTAAGTCCTATGGTAAATAGCCTGTATTTGTGTTGCATTTACTAAGTCCAGAGAACTCCAAAGCGCTTTACACTACATTCAGTCATTTACACAGCCATGCAGACATTCACACAGTGGTGAGTATTACATTATAGGGGCAGTCTAACAGAGCACTGGCACCACTGGGCCTTCTGACCAACACCAGCAGGCAAGGCAGATGAAGTGTCTTGCTCAAGGACACTGCTAACTGCGGGACAAACCCCTACCATAATCATCGTATGGTGCCAGCAAGGTACTTAACTTTTCCGATCATATGACCAGTGCTGGAAACATTGTTGTGTCCACAAATCATAAAGATCTGGACCTCAGGAGTCATCTATATGCAGACCAGTGGGACCCCTATGTGTTAGATACCTTTGTAGCCTTCTCATGGTATTTATACATTGCAGCCATAGAATGTTTACCAAAGACAAACACAACCTCTGACTCGAATGGTTTTTGAACCCAAACTTGGACATCGTACATCTGACTAAAAACTGAAATAACAAACATCTTTGCCAGCACAGTTAGTGTATTTTAGCTGATGCAATGCAGTGCCATGGGGGTATTCACATTGATATTGTTGCAAGGGCAAATCTGTTGCACTGATATGCAACAGATGTGAGATGTTACTTAGATCACACTAACACCAACTGTCTCTCACCTTAAGGGTCTCCATGGCAGATCCAACCTTGACAGTTATCTTTTTACCATGTGGAGACTTTTCAAAGATAGGCTGAGAGAACTCTTTAAGGTATGGTTCTAGCTCACAAGCCACCAGGCAGCCATCTTCTGGAAGCCCCTCTGCCATGCACAGAGCTCCATAACCGGTGAACATCCCAATCTCCAGGACCCTCTTGGCTTGACTCATGTGGATCAGCATCTTAAGGGTTTGACCTGCCAAAAAGCACACCCAATAATATATCATAATGAAACACATAACAGAGGAAATGTAATAATAATAAACGGTGCATATAAATGTCCCACCCTCAACATGGCCAGTGATGCACTCCTTTGGAAGCCGGAACTTAGTCTTGCCCTCCTCAAACACTTGGTCCCAGTTGTGAGACATGGTCTTCCTACCAATAAGTATGCATGACTGTTTTTACATCTTGGGACACTGCTGTGTAAAAATATTCACACCCCTGGGACATTTTGACATTATATCATCTTACAACTACAAATATCAATCTATTTTATGCAATAGACAAACACAAAGCACTGCATCATTTTGAGCTACATGGAAATGTACATATGGTTTTCAGCAAAAAAAAAAAAAATCAGAAAAATGTACTCTGCATTTGTGTCCAGTCCTCTTTAACACCTCTAAACAAAATCCAGAGAAATGGGTTCAGAGTGCCCCTAAAGGTGGTCAAAGCTAAAGATTGGTAGAGATAAATACCAGGGAAATCCTGAATGAGGCTTTATTAACATAGATGGTCTGACTACAGATGAAAGCAAGACTTTTCAGATTGTGCTTATAAAAACATTTGTAAACCATGTACCATTTTGATTGTCTACAACTTAATATGTTTTCATACTGTTGTGTTTAATTAAATGTGCTTTTTCACTTGTTTTTGTTGTTTAACTTTTTTGTTCTGTCTTTGTTAAACACTTTTTTTTTTACATGTGTTTTATGTTAAAAATGTTTTATGTTGGAAATTTACATATTTTTATGTACATATTTGTTATTATTTCATTTTATGTCTTTAATTCATTTAATATTTTGGTCATATTTAATTAGAATTTAAGATGTGTCATAAATTTTGTCACTAATGATTTAATTTATATTTGCTAATCTTTACCACTGAGCTCCTTTAAATCTAGACTAAAACCTGTTTAGCTGCCTTTATCATAATGGATTAAGAATTTAACAATGGCACTTGACTAAATGCAATGTTTCAATTATTGATTCTATGCATGGGTTTGTGTTTTTATGATGTAAAGCACTTTGAAATGCCTTGTTGCTGAAATTTTCGATGCAAATAAAATTTGATTGATTGATTGTCAACAAATTAGCAATTTCCCCTTCGGATCAATAAAATATAACTTGATTCTGTTTCCATTTAAATACACAAATGTTTGTGATAATAACGTAGAGAACTATGAAAGAGTTTCAGCGGTATGAACTAGGGACGCTCCGATAAGATTTTTTGCTGCCGATTCCAATCATGTGCCGATCTTTGTTGATTACCAATCTCTGCCGATCACCTGGGTTGGCTGTCAATTTTTCGCTTTACTGCTATGTAATCTGACAAAATAGAAAAATTATCTGGCAATAAATTAATCTGATTTGGACATAAATATGCAAAATATTTGCAGACACAATGCAACAGCTATTCAGTCAAAAGGACAACTGAAAAACCTACAATCAATTAAACAATACATACTTAACAGTGAGGTTCTCTGTACCATAAATTATACATGCGTCAAATAAATCTCACAACACTGTCTATATCAAATAAGAAAGAAATATTAATTCAGAGTCAAATGCGGGTTGCATCAAAATAAACAATCATGAGTTATTGATTCAAAACTTCCAGACAGCATGGCTAGCTGATTAATGCTGATTCTGACTGAGCAGAGTAATTCTGCAGATCACAGGGAGGAGGCAGAGGCGATCAATATTTTTCAGGGATTATCTAGCTCATATTATTACATAGCAAAGTTTTAATACATATGTAAAATCTGTTTGTTTATTTAAATTTAAGCAGCCTTAAGCAGATGTTTGGCTTGAGAGTTCACTGCGGGTGGAGCAGAAACAAAGCTTCGTCTGTAAAGCGGAAGCAGAACCAGCATCTTACACCATTATTAGCTCATTGACATAAAATATTTTTCGGGTTACTTGTTTAGCTTTCTGACCATTATGCTCTTCCGGGTGAGTATTGGTAGCTGTGTGCTCCTTTATTTGCTATGTGATCGCTCCAGATGTCCGTTTTTTTCCTGTAGCCAATGTAGCCAAACTCCCTCAAGTGTTTTTTTTTTTAAATGTCATATTATATTTGTTGTGTTGATGCATTTTGACTTACTTCACCTCCGAGGTATTTCTACAGCGGAACATGCAAACTTCCCCATTCACTCTTAGAGCATTATAGTTCCTGGCCGCATCGCTTAGGATTTGCGCAGCGTGAAGGAAAGAGGAGATGAGGTGTATGGGCAGATTGAGAAGTGAGATGCAGGTGATCGGCAACAAGAGACAGTGATCAGCGATCACACACTTTTTCACGGAAAGAAATCAGCCGATTATGATCTGTGGCCAATCGGTCAGCACACCTCTAGTATGAACGCTTCTACAGGGGACTGCATTTCATACAGTAAAACACTTTTATTATCAGAAGATTTAGTGGAGAAAAAAAAACAGTCATACCTATACAGCTCTGCCAGAGGTTCGCTCTCTTTGGTGGCAATTTTTTCCAGGTAGTTGTCTAGTCCACTGGCAATGTCGAGAGCCTTCTGCAGGTGGCTTTTCAGTTCCTCTGGAACGGTGGCACATGCTGAGGCTATACCCTGGGCCTTTGTCAACAGATCCACTATGACTTCCACGGGGGTGTCAGGAACTGGGACAATCACATGAGAATTGACAATTTAATTCAATTCAATTTTTATTTATAGTCCTCTGGCAGGTTGAGGTTAAAAATAAAAATCAATTAACATATGAAACATAATTTACAACAAGTTATGAATTGTTATGCAAGTTACAGAAATTATGGTTAATGTAAAAAAAGTCACACCCATGTAGACAAATGCAAAGCAAGACATGCTAATTTAAAACAAAAGCATTGTGATCATTTAAAAAGTTTAAATGATTTTCTAATGAATGTTCAAGTTTCAAAAGAAGTATAAACATCTACTTAAGTGTTATAAATACCAGGGTGATTAGTGAGTCTAAACACATAGGCTACTCATCAGTATAATAACCAAAAATATTTAAATGTCAATATTGCATTAAAAGTGATCAGCCAAGTTTATGGTGAGTATGCAACTGTTATTGATGCTTTTAGATTCGTGGTAATGAGACAGAAGGTTTCTACTTGAACACAGCCTGGATTCTCTCTGGACTCAGTAACAAACTGTGACCACTCTCTCTCTCTCTTCCTCCTTTAGCCACTCGAACTTATCGGTACAAAAAAAGTTGAGTAACGAACTTACCTTTGTCAGGCAGCATATTTACCGTTTATGGGCGGGACGTCGGTTTCTGCAGTTGACAACCACGGAGGGTTTACGTGCTGCTGGAGGTCCAGAGGTTTCGGTTATATCATGTAACTCACAGAGGGGAGGAGGAGGAGTTGCTCTGTTACCCAACACGAGAACGGCGCCATTATCCAACTCTGAGCGGCACGTGACGGTGGCGCTGGTGGAAGAATCCAGTTTTCTCCTCCGGGGCTGGGCGTCGATGGGAGGGAGCGGCTGAATGTAGCCAGAGTCTGTGAGATAGAAATCCGAAACCCTCAAGAGTCTCACCTGCTTTGGTAACTATTCGATTATGTTATTTAAGCATATTCGAAGAAAAGCTTAAAGAGCAAACGGTAAAAGAGACATAACAAGAGCTGCCAAAAATTTGGTGCACATCTTCCATGAATAAAACGTCTGAAACACAAATGGTAATTGTTGTGATTTTAAGCAAGGGGAATACATTCTGTCCAACTATTTTCAAATGAAATCATGTTTATTAAGCACTTAGTGATGGTAACACACCAGTTTTTGCTCTTAAAACTGTAGTCAGCTGTTCAGTGTAACTACTAATAGTTAGTAGTTTAAAGCTTATGATTTTCTTGTCCGAGTTAGACCACAACACAACAGGACAAGAACTGGATGGAAATGAAATGTGGGTCATGAAAGGAGACTGAATGCAGGATGCCTGCTAACATGTTGCCAACTGGTGGTAAGTTTGCTTCCAAATGCTAATTATTTTTTGTTTAATTATAAACAGTGCAGTACATATATGAACAAACTTAAATTGGTTCCATAAATAGTTATTTTATCATTTTTATTGTGCTCTTCATGATGATTGTTATTATTACAATCATTCAACTTCATGTTATCACTGCATGGATGCTTTGTTTGTTGCAACTTAATATAGTGTTCTTCATAAACTTTACCTGGTTTTAATTAAGCTCAGTGTGCCAAAGAGACTTTGATATTGTGAGGCTGTTGTTATAACTTGTTCATTATTGTTTTTATCTTCAGTATATCTTTGCAGTCTAAACAAATGAAGATGAAAGAGGAAGCCAGGTGTCAGGCATTAGAAACCCTAAAGACTTTCCTGTCTCAGAAGAGGACTGGCTCCACCAGATCACCAACCAGTTCTGAGGATGAACCTCCATATCGTCTTCATGGTGGAAGGTTTTTTTTGTTGTTTTACACTAAGCAGCTGGCCACAGTTTTAGGAACAGTCAAAACTTGTATGTTACCATGACTTAGTGCTTAATAAACATGATTTGATTTCAAAATAATTGAACAGAATTTATTCTCCTTGTTAATCTACCATTTGTCTTTTAGACATTTTATTCATTGTTAGCTTTCAGGGCCCTGTGATGGACTGGTGACGTGTCAAAGGTGAACCGTGCATCTCATCTGATGACTGCTGGAGATGGGCACCACTCGTCCCCTCACCATCTTGCAAGGATCAGCGTGTTCTGATCATGGATGGAAAGCTTTTAAGTTACAACTGATTCTATGATATTGTTGACTATTTTTTTCTACTTCTAAGATATACAGGCATCCGGCCCCAATTATTATCACACTACTTCTGATGATGCCACATACATAGCGAATCCACAACATCTTTGAAACATCATTGGGCTTTCGTCCTTTTGAATAGCTGATTAGCCACATTGTACAGCTATAGAAGTTACATTATTTTATTCATTATGAGTCATATTCAAGATGAGTGGGATGTCATCAATACATAGAAAACACTAAAAGATAAACACAATAATCACTGTAACAAAGAGCAAATAAAATACTCCAGACATACAGTCTTGAATATTTATCTCTATATGGTGAAACAGGTCAAGTTCCTCTGCTTTAGAGGTAGAGAATCTCCATGTATATAGTCTGGATTCACCTGTTTGTAGATTTTCTGTAGATTTATTCTGCAAATAACCTAACTCCAGGTCATGTGCAGAATATTCAGCTCCTCTTTTTGTACAACATATCTAAACTATTTCAAATAAGATGGAGTTTGGGGAAGCTGACATAGCTTGCCAAAAGGCTACTTAGCATGCTGTTTCCTCGTGTTTGCAAAGCAGGCAATCCAGAAGCAAGATGTATTTAGCTTATTGCTGATTAGCCATCCTGTAGCAGAGATAAGGAAGACTAAGATCCTAGCTCAGTTTCCACTGTGTGTATGCCTTGTGCGCTCTGAATGCACCACACCAGTGCCTGTTTCTAACATTTATTTTTGATTAGACGATAGTGCCGCTCACTGTCTGTCATCTTCTGCTGCAGCCTTGGTGGTTCATCCCAGCTTAAGGACAGACCATTATTTAATGCATTATTTAATATCACTGCTTGACTATTTATCATGGTTTGGACTGGAACATATTTTAATTGTTGTGATTTTATTTGTTTACATAAATTGAAGGTTGTGGTTCTTTGGTGGTGGACTTTCCGGGTGGTGGTTCTTTTTTTGATTTGATGCACAATTTCATTTTTATTACTGTCTTGTTTGGTGTGTTTTCTTTCATTTAGATCACTATCCTGATCTGCAGTTCTATCTTTAATGTGAGTTATTTTCATACTGACTAAAACATGCATACATAGTAATTAAAATTATTAAATTGAGTGAAATTTTCTTGAGCATCATCTGTAGCGGGTCTGTGTGCCCTCAAGGTAACTTTTAAATACTAGCGAATGTTGCAATTCATTCTGCCTACATTAAAATAAGGTAAAAAAGATCGAAAGTATTTATTATCATTGTCACAGGAACAACAAAATTTTAAAAAAGTGTCATCAGTCAGTGCATATGCTTAACAAACTATCTCACAAGTTACACACGATGTAAAAAAATAAATAACAAATTGCTGATATACATCATTCATGATGATAGATGGTTATTTTTTTATTGCATTTAGTTTTGTTATTGCTTTCGGGTAAAAACTGTCTCTACTACTGTGAAGCAAGGTGGTGGAAGTGTCATGCTTTGGGGGTGTATTTTCTGCACATGGGACAGGATGACTGCGCTCCATAGACCAGGGGAATGTATTGTGAGATCTTGGGAAACAACCTCCTTCCTCTCCTTTCTGAGAAATCAGCTACAGCTGGTCAATGACCTGAAGAGAGCTGGTATCACTGTTTCCGATGTTACTGTGCACGAACACATCATGGTTTAAGCCCGTCTCCAGACCTAAACCGCATAGAAAATCTTTGGAAGGAGCACAAACTCCGTGTTTCTCAGTGACAGCCCAGAAACCTGGCTGGTCCAACTAAGAACAACCGAGATCTTAGTTGGACCTAAGAGGAGAAGCGAGCAAAAATTCCTGTTGCAATGTGTGCAAACCTGGTGGAAAAACTACAGGAAATGATGATTGCCCTCTGTAATTACAAATAAACAATATTAACCCTCTCAGGCTCAAATTACTTGTAAAGACTGGCTAAGTTGTTGCAAATCTGCAACACCTGCCTGGAGAGGGTTAATATTAAATATCAACATTGATTTTCACAGGTGTCCAAATACTTATTTGCAGCAGTAACACACAAATAAATTACTTAAAGCTTTATATAGTATATTATGATTTCAGGATTCTTTTTTAGATTATGTATAAAAAAGAATAATAATGGACATGCACCTACGATAAAAAAAAATTCAGACCCCTCCATGATTTCTAACCTTTCACAGAAGTTGCCACTTAAAAATAAGAAACTTATTTTTCTTCACTGTAAGTTTCATTCTTATTTTTTTAATTAAAACAATTCTAAATCTACTGTCTCCGTCCATCTGCATTTGGGTCCTCATACCAACACAACCTGACAGTAAAGTTATCAGTTAACCATACTGCACTTTCAAGGTAAATTAACAGGAATTGGTTTAAAGCAGGCTAAGAAGGACTGGTGTGAATGCAGTCTTAGGTGTAGCTTTGTCTTGGGTAGATATATCTTTGTTACCTTCTCTGTCAGACCGTTTTACAGCAAAACTGAATATGTTTCTGACAAAAGATATGCATTCACAACTCTAGAATGCAGAGGGTGCCTTTATGTTGGATTAACCAATGATGGTTCTACAAGCTGTCCCTCAACTATTTATGATTTATAGTCTTAGTTGATTAGTGGGTGGGTTTATTTGTCAGTTTGCCTGGAGGCAGAAGAGGTTCACACAGTGTGCATTGAACAAATAATTCCTGTCTTTGAATAGCTCTTATTGAACATATTTCAAGTTTTAATCCCACCACAACTGCAATAAAATGGTAAATGTTTTTGAATATTACACCACATGTGCAGCCTTAGAGGGATTATTAATCTTGTGCAGTGTTAAAAATATTCACAAATTTCAGGTTTCTGATGCACTTACTGTTCCCTCTCATTGTTTCTGCTCTGGAAGAGACCTTCCTGTGCATGGCAACTGATTTTTAATCACCCTTTCTGATTGAACTACAATGCTTTGTTACACTATTCACATACCTCTTGAACCTTTATCATGCATTGCCACTTTACAACTTTAATCGCTCGCAGTGTGATTCATAGCCCTTAGACTTGCCTACTGCCACTTTTTGACTGTTTCTAGTTGGCAGTGGGAGAAGGCAGAAAAGCTCTTTTTTTTGCATATTATATCTAATATTATACATCCATGATTTAGTAAGAGCATCAACAAATACACAAAAAATGATAAAAGTTACCTACTTAACTTGTCTCGGTGGTAAAGTTCAGGGGTCACAAACCCCCTGAACTTTGCTAATATTGGAGATTACAGGCAAGGTTGTCAGGGCAGAAAAAGCAGGTTAAACATGAAGCACTCAAACAAACTATTGATGCTTCTTTGAAAAAACATCAAGCAAATGCAGCTGTCTCAACGGAGGTCGGAATTTGCCCTGAAGTCATTCGTGTTTTTGCAGTTACCCTTAAACGCTCTAGGAAGAATAGTTGCAGGAATTTCTAAACTTTCGCAGCTTATCATATTACTGATATAGCTGCAGAACAACTTTTTGACAACAACATGGCTATTTTATATATTTAAATACAAAAAAAGGCAGAATGGGAAATAAAATGAATCTTTTTTGCTTGGTGTATCCTAATTTGTGTTACAAATTGAGAAACAACACGGTGCCACACCTCTGAACATGAACCAATCTTCCCCTGTCAAAAAAACGGCTGATCCAACACTTTTCTAAGAAATATCAATCCACAAATCTAATCTAGTTATAAGAAACATAGGTTTCATGTAACTATACCAAGAATTTAACTCTTGGTCAATAAAAACTTCATCTTGTTGCATCTGAACAATTCTGAACAAATGAGTGTTGACTGTAAACATCAATGCAGTTGGTATATCCTCATAAACAAGGCCAGATAATACATTTCACACTTTTGTTACATTATGAGATCAGTTAGACCTCTGGAGCTTGACAAACCGGTTATTAAAAGAGACTCTGTTGCCACTCCATCTGATAAGCATGAAGCCTGCTCATCAAGGCTTGTTATTCCAACATTCACTCCATGGATCTCTCATTCTTGTTTTCATCACTTTGATATGTAAAATTGTGCAAGTATGTAAATAGTAGTGAGTGGGTTTTCTCACTACTATTTACATACTCACATGGTATTATAAATAGAAACAAATATCTTTGTTTCTATTTACATAAAAACAAATAGTTTTTCATGTAAATAGAAATGTCATTTTCCAATTTTTTGGTGAAATCTTTCAATAATTAACAGAATATGCCAGTGTCAAAAAAAGTCACATTTTCAGTTTGCAAAAACAGGTGTTATCTCACAATTATACAAAACACATGTATTGGCATGTGATGGGAATTAAAAGAAACTCCTCCCTTGAGCGGGATCCTCTAAAAACTGTTCTGTATATAAAGCCTCTCTCAGAAGGATCTTCACAAAAGCTATTTCAAGCTCTTCCCCCGTTAACAACTTGAGAAAAAATGGGAAAAGTTCATGAGGGGAACAGTGATGTTGAAGGCAAGAAGACCGAGTTTAGTTTAGTGCGGGTCAAAAGTACATGGAAGAGCAAACTGGGGAAGATCAATAAGGACGCAGTTGACTGTGTCTCAACTGCAAAAATGTAAGTATGCGTGTTTGTGTGTTTCATACACACATAATTGAAGCTAAGATATTTTTACTGCTTTGTTTTTTTTTAGTATGTTGTGTTTGTGCAAAGATTTGCTTCCTTGGGTCAAGAACTACTTAAGCCTTTGTTAAATAATTCTCATTGTTATGTTACTTAATTTTAAAAATATTATTTTATAAGTGGTTTATTGTC